CGGATTTAAACCCAAATTGTTTATTGTAAAAAATATTATTTTCATTTAAGAAAGAATAAAGTCTATTATAAACTACACGCTTTAAAATCTTGGGAAAAACAATAAAGAACTGAGATCGGTCTGTATTTGGAAGCATCAGAAGGATTACCTGTTTTAAAAATTGGTGTAATCTTTGCACTTTTTGTATAATATATATTGTATCTATAATACATATATACAATATATATATATATATATATATATATATATATATATATATATATATATATATATATATATATATATATATATATATATATATATATATATATTTAAAAAAAATATAAAATAAAAAGTAAATACCGTTTAAGGAAATCTAGATACAAATAAGATAAGGTATCCCAATTATAAAACACCGTTTAGTAAAACATTATAAAATAAAATCAAACATATTAAATTACATTTAGATAACACTTATAAAAGAGAAACGAGATCAGAAGAGCTCGAAAATATGATCTATTGAAAAAATAACTTTTTTCAGTTTGTTTTTGAAAGTAAAAAAGTTCCAACTTTGGAAAAAATCAAAATTTTTAAAACTATTTGATACCACAAAAAAGCTCCACGATAAAATGTAAGAGACTTTCCAAAATTTGTATGCGAATAATGTTGATAAAAAAAATTGTCATTTCTTAGATCATATTTGTTTTTAGGCTTTATTGCATATAAATTTTGAAAAATATATGAGTTAAGTTTATCTTACATTTAAATATAAAGCAAAGAACGTTAAAAACATTTAGTTGGTATATATTAAATATACTCATTTCGAATAAATGTGGTTTTGCGTGGGTAAAACGATCTTTAAGGTTTATTAGTCGTGCTAGATGCTTCTGTTGCCGGTAAAGAGTATCTAATTGACTTTTTTTAGCACTACCCCACGTAATATTTGAATAATTTAGATGACATTGAATAAATGAGTAATAAAGTTGAAATAATGTGTGTTTATTTACAAAACTTCTTGCTTTATATAATACTCCAATATTTTTGAAACTTTGTTGCGCAAGGTTTCAATATGATTTTTCCATATAAGATTTTCATCAATAAGAACACCAAGAAAAAGTATAACTTTTGATTGTTTTATTTCAATATTATCTATATATATTTGAGGTATATAATTTGGCAAAAGATACTTTTTGGATTTTGGATGAAAAAGAATCCATTTAGTTTTTTCTATGTTAATTGATAACTTATTTGACTGGAACCATTTTGAAATTTTAATTAGCTCTATGTTCATGCCATTAAATATTATAACCATGAGAATATTTGTAGAAAAAAGAAAAAGATGCAACTTAACAACAATGGGAGAGAGCTTGGTCAATAGAGCTGATCCAGCTACTTTTACAATCCGTTTTTAAATCTTGTCTAGAAGAGAAAGAGTATCATTAGAGTAACCAGCTCAATGACAACAGTATTTTATACAGGGACAAATAAGAGTATTGAATGGAACCAGAAGTAAGATAATTGCGAGCGCAATAAAGAGAAGCAACCTTAGCAGATGCTAATTTAGCAATCAATTGTGTTATGGTTTCTATGAGAAATTCGTAGTGAATGATAATTTAAGATGACGTAAAGAAGAGGACTCAGTGAGAGGGTTGCCATTCATTAATATAGGAATGTTGAAAGTATTGCAACAGTTGCTTGCAATAAATAACTGATTTTGTTGGAGTTAAAATTTACAAGCCACTGCGAGCCCTAATCAGTTACAGAAGTGAGATCAGATTCAATATCGGCTGCCTGTTCTGAGCGATTGAAAAGAGAAGACTTTTTGTCAAGCAGAAGTATAAGGTAAATAAAGTCATCTTCAAATCCCAACACTCTTCTTAATTTCTAGTAACTTCTGGGGTACCTTGAAGTACCCAAGAAGTTACTAGAAATTAAGAAGAGTTTTAGAATTTGAAGATGACTTTAATAAAGCGGTCAGAAAGAAACTATTTTTTTTTTTTGATTCTTATTTTAGGCGCCCCAAGAAGTCTTTGCGTTTCTATCACTAAACACCGCGGAAGAGCATTTAATAGGAAGGTCACGCCTCCATTCTAACCAATGTCGTAAAACTTGCTCATAGGTAACGTTCGAACCACGGGTTCTTTGTTTCTGGAAAGTACGCCACCACTGCGCCACGGCTGCTCTAAATTTGATAATCTCATAAACTATTCCTGTATTTTATGACGATACAAGTTTTTAAGGCCCGATATGAAAATAACTAAACATTTTTCCAATTGAAATTTAAAAATGTAAAACTATATTGCGTTTATGTTTGTTTAACAAATTGGCCGTAATAAATTGCCATATGATTGTAATTGATTTCTATGCTTTAAAAAAGAGATTCAAGAAGTATTATAATTTATTTTGTATTGCAAAAGTTTATTTAGTGCATATAACGTGTTTTGGTATTGTGATATATTCCTATGTGGCTAATTGCCATTTAGAGGCCATATACCAAGGCTTACGAAGACGAGTTCTGCCTTTTAAAGAGCATCGTATCCCGCTTCAACGGACCATGAGTAAGTGAATTTAAGAAAAACGAAGATATTAGAGTGACAAATAGAAAAAGTTGAGTCAGAAAGATAGCATATAGATAGCATGTGCAATTATACATTAATTGGTAACAACTAATTAATGTATTTAATTATATTTATATTATATAAATTTTATAAATATTATATATTATTATATTATATTATTAATTATATATTCCATTTGATTATATAACTTGTTTTGTTTTGTTTTAATTTTATCATAGCTTTTTTTGATTAAATTTGACATTGCTTATATAGTTTCCTATAAACTAATTTGCAAAATTAGTTAAATTACTTAGCTGCAAATTACTAAAACTTTAGCTCGTGTTTAAAAAATAAAATTGAAGTCTAATTTTCCGGTTGATGTAAACGACAACAATCAATCATTATACGATTAAGTTAATCTTAGACGATAAATTGCTTTAAAAATAAAAGTTTTTGCATTTTATAATTATGTTGCGCTTTTTTAAAACGTGATCATTTAGTTGCATTTGATTTCAACACAAAAAAAAAACTCCTTGAAAATGGTACCCTCTCCCTTCCTCCATTTCACTCACACTCTCTTTCTCTTTTTCTCTAAATTTGGGATTTTTCACTGTATACGCCTTCTTATAGCCACGAAGGCCATTACATTCGAGAATGCTACTCCTAATTTTTTTTCAATCTAATTAAATGCGGTTTTATAGATAAAACAAATTAGTCACAGAAAATTTTTATTAATTTTTTCTATTGGAAATAAATGAAGTGATATAAAAACCTTATCTGTTAAATAGAATTTTATACCTTTCTGAGGTTCATACAAAAATAGTAAAACTCAATTAGATTATTTTAATGCAACCATAATTGTATCTACTAAAACTAACAAATTGAGTCGCTAGACTTCAATAGTTTCCTCGGTAACATTGTCAAAATAAGCCTTTTGTGTTTAGACAATCTAATTATAAGCAAGGAAATGAAATGATCCTAACTACCTTTCATTCCAATAAATGAACCATTAAATCGATAAAAAAAGAACAATTTTATTTCGAATGAACGCAATTTTTTAGCGGTGTAAAATAATCCACAAAGGATTTTTATTCATATAAAAATTCTGTATAAATTTATCTACCATGAAATTAAAAATTATTAAACTAGTTTAAAAGATTGACTTAATAAGTCAAGATTAATAGTAAAGTTTTAATCTATTTTATGAAATTTTAAAAAAGTTGAAATTGCAAGCTTGTGCTTGCAAAGCATTGAATAAACAAAGATCGTATTGTAAAGGAAATTCTTACACTAAAAAAAAAAATATCTTATTTAGATTATTTAGAAATAATTGAGTAATAAATAAAAAAAAGATAAAAAAAAAACAAAAACAAAAATAATAAGAAGAAGAAGTAAAGAGTAGAAGAATAGAAATTTTTGAAAATCTTATTTTAAGAAAGTAAAAGTCAAAATAATTATGACAAAAAAATGTTTAATTAGAAGCCACAATTTGGTATTTTACAAAAAGCCACAACTTGGTATTTACAAAAAGTACTAATAAATATCTATAATACTTTATTGTAATAAAAATATTACTAAAAATGATAGTATAGAATAATTAGAAAATATAAATAACAAATAAAATTTAAACTAAAAAATTAAAAATTAAAAGTGATTTTCTAAAATTAATAGTTTATTTGCGAATAGTAGTCTAGCGTACAACAAAAGTTACTTTTTCAGGATCAGTGCTAGGTCAGGTTGACGTAAAACATCAAAATAACGTCCACTGGGCACCTAGTTTCAAGTTGATTCAATTTAAAAAATTTAATATGTATTTTTCTTGGTTATTTATAAACAAAAAATTTTCCTAAAAGTATTTAATTTTTTTTTTTAGTTAAGGTAAAAAAAACTAAAAAAAAAGGGTAATATTAATATTGTAAACTTTTATTTATTTATAAATTTATTTGTTTAAAACTATTTATTTACTGTGGTTCTTGGTCATCTTACTAGCATTAAATGAGTAATTACTTTAAAAAGTTTTTTTTTAGTCTACATTTTCAAAAGGTTAATTTTACAAAAAAAAAATCTCTGTAATAAATATTCAAATAAAAAAAAAAAAAAAACAGAAGAAAAATTTAACTTGTATGATTATTTATATAAGATTTAATAATTAGTAATTAAGAAAAACAGTGAGAGTAGTTTTTTTTTCTTCAATGCATGGTTTAGTTTCCGAGTCAATGAATGAGAAACTGATTAGTAAGTATATATTGCTATATAGCTAAAAACTATGAAACAAGTATATTGGTGTCTTTGATAAGTTCTTGCCAAGTCTTTTTTATTTATTAATTTCACTCAATCCAATAGCGTACACAATTAAATTTGTTGCAAAATGGGTACAGTTTTCATTAAGTTTGTGTATCTTAGGTAGGGCATTCTTTCTTGCTATTTGAGAACCAACTGAAGTTTACTGTTAACATTTTTTTCAAAGCATTCTAGTCTCCTTAGTTAACTTCCTAAAAATAAAATTTCAAGTTTAAAAACAAAAAAAATAGAGATATCCAAAACAAATATTTCAAAAACAAAAAGAAGCATAATGCAAAGTACGAATACGGAATAACACATAATACCTACATAAACACATAATATAAAGGAATCAGTTATTTTTATTAAATAATATGTTATCCCTACTTTGAATAAATCATTCCTGAATAATTGTATCTTCCAATAGTTTTTTATTCAAATTTTACACTCATTAAAATTGTTAGTTTTATGCATTTATAGAACAAATTACTAAGTTTTAAACTTGATGCCTGCTTCTTTATGCCAGCTTCTAACCACATATCTTTTAAACTTATTACCTTCTGTTTATTTAAAGACTTCCTCCGTAAAAGGCAATTTAGTGTGTATTTCCGGGCTGGGTTCGTATGTGACTCCGAGAGGTATTTTGCTGGAATAGAATAAATCAAATAAGTTAAAATTAAATTTGCTCGTTTGTTTAGTTTAGCATTTGAAGGAATAACAATTTTTCAGTGTAAATAATATTTTTATGTCACTTTTTTTTATTTAAATATAAATTAAAATTCATAGTTATTCTGTTGAAGAATTTGCAAAGCTTTTTAAAGAAAAAAAGTGCTTTTTCCCAAATTTTTTAAATTAATTATTATTTATTATCAAAATTTGTGAACTTTAATAAAAATGGTTTTAAATTTCGAGTTAGCAAGAAAAGTAAAAAAATCTTTTGCCAGTTTTAACGTCATGGTTGCTATTGTTAGTACTTTTAACGTTACTGTGACGCTACTGTGACGTTACTGTGACATTAGTACCATATAAACATTACTGTCTTTTGTTATATGTTTGTAGTCTTCTTAAACATGATTTTTTGCTCTAAGATATTTAATTACTATGCATTCAGATTGAGGACCTTTAGAGTTCTGAAGATTATTATTATTATTATTATTTTTTTTTTTCAGTTTTTATTTAAACTTAAAATTCTCGAGCAATTTTTATTTTATTTTAATTTGAAATTATTTAACAAATTGTTTAATAACCAATAAGTTTGTTATGTTGCTATTTAAGTAAATAAAAATAAATGAGAAATGAAATGAGAGAGCAATGAAAATTCTTTATATGAGAATATGAGCTTATATGGCTTTATATGAGAATAACTTATGGGCAGGTTATTTCCTATGAATTATAAAAATAGAAGATGTTATGTTTAGAATTATAATTTTTGATAGTTTAACGGTCCTATAACTACGGTTACTATATTAAACTTTTAACAGAATTTTAACAACCAATCAAAATTCTTTTAAAAAATAAGTCATATAATAACAACAAAAGCTTATCGGTCTGTTCATCTTTTAAGTTTACAAATTGTTGCTTAATTTTATAGAAAAAACGCGTGTCAAGAACAATGATTCATACCTATTAGCATTTTCCGGGATGAGTGCAAGCAGTTTGCGAAACAATGTTTGTTATTCTTTGCTTATAAAAATATATATTCAAAATAAAGACAACCCATATGAGGAAGGCTTTGAAATACGTCATAATAGTTAAAACACACAAGGTTTTTAATCTAAAAAAAGCACAATAGAATTTCTTCTTTAATTGAACTTTACAATGTTGTTTGCAACCATAAATACAAAAGGTTAAAAAAATAACTAAGTTTTACCAATAATAACAAATTGTTAGAACCTGTCACTGTTGAAACAACTTCAAATAAAAAAATGTACAGAAAAGGGTGACATTGACTTAAAAAATAAACTTGAGAACTCTTTAAGCGTTTAAAATGCGCAAACACGTTTTATTAAGTAAAGTGGAAGAGAAGGGGAGGGGAAGGGGAAGAAGTGAGTACCAATTACTTTATATTGTTATTATGCATATAATGGTTCATTATGGGAAAAAAAAAGAAAATACACATTCAATTCGATTAAAAAGGAAAGATCAGTACAGATATAATACTTGAATATCTTTTTAACATATATTCAATACAACCGAATCTATTCCATAAAGGTTAGAAACGTTACCATTTCGTGAAATAATAATGTTTGAGTTAACTCTATATTAAAAATTAATTAATGAATGGACTCATGTAGACTAATTTATTGCAACAACTTTTTTTCCTTTCATTTGCATCTAGGGCCGACGACACGGATTTTGAAGTGGGGGGATTGAAGTGGGAAGTTTGAAAAAAGTCCTCTATCTTAAAAAAAATTTCTTTAAAAAATCTTTTGTTAAAAAAAAAAAAGGCGCTCTAGAAAAAAAGTGGGGAGGGGGCACGTGCCTCCCACTTGTTGTCCTGGCCCCCTTCCCCCCCTGTTGTCGTCGGCCCTATATTCAGTAAATTTTTAAGAACTTTTAATTTCAAAGTATGTATGCAAGATATGCATGGTTTTATTTCTTTGACAAAAGTCAACAAAGTATTTCGATATCTTTTTAGCTTAGTTTCTAAATTTCGTTTTATATTTTTCTGCTCTACTTCGCTACTTTTAACTATTGTGTATTTTTGTAATATTTTTCTATTGTTCTAGTCTTCTATATGTAAATTATTTTATTCTTTATTTTAATTGGTTTTTACTGTTTCTTTTTTTTGTGTGTGTTTTTTATGTCTTTTTTAAATATTTTTATTGTAAAATTAATTTAGCCTCATTTATTTTTTACTTTTTTGATCTTTATTTATGCACTCTTTGTATCCATTTTTTCTTTCTGTTTTTTGATGGTTTTTTTTTGTTTTTTTTTTAATTTAATTTTCTTTTAAAATTACTACATTTGATGCTAACAATTTTTTAGGGATAATGTTTTGTTTTGAGACACTATTATCGTTATATTGTCATTAAGTTTAAACTCAATAACGGTATAATTGAGACAACATTAAAATAAAATATAAAAAGGTGACGTTATTACATTGCGTATATAATGTGTGTACATAAATATATATATATATATATATATATATATATATATATATATATATATATATATATATATATATATATATATATATATATATATATATATATATATATATATATATATATATATATATATATATATATATATATATATATATATATATATAAAGGAGGGGCTAAGGAGTAGTTAGAAAGTTCTAAAGTCCTCTTTATTTTAGCTATATCTTTTTTTACTTTTAATTAATAATAAATAATAAAATAATGATAAAATAATTAATAAAAAAACAAGTTAAAATCCCACACTACGCGTTAGTGCTCTTTGAAACCTGATTCCGATTTGAATTTTTATCATGGGAATATTTATTTATGTATTTAGAGGTCATGCATAAAACACTTTCTTTTAAAAATAGAATTTAAACTTATTTGAATAATTTATATAGAGAAAGGTTTTTATTTAGTTCTATATTAAAATTGGTTAACTTTTAAAAGTCTATAAAAATACTATCAATAAGCTATTCCTATTGCTTGGTATTGAGCCAGAAAAGGCAACATTAAAAACTTGTTAGTTGCAAACAATTTTGGAAAAAAGTTTCATTCATTGTAATTTTTTTGTCCGAAAATTTTTTGTTTTACGCAACTGCTGTATTCTTTTAAGCCTTTTATTCTTTCAATCGTGTTTTTATTATTTAAGTGGAAAAATCCAACCAAAATTGTTTATAAATAAATTTGTTACATTAAGAGGCAAAATAATAATAAATTGCTTTTAAAAAAAATTCTCTTCCGGTAATTACTCCAACTCACAAAATGGCACATGTATAGATTAAGGCTGTTAAAACCGCGTGTTAATTCGAATGTTGCGATATATATTAAGGCGCCTAATCATTAAGCAACGCGTAAAAAAAGAATTAGATATTTGAAATGAAATTAATTAAGAATCCTGCATGCATAAGCTGAGCAATTAAAATCATTACATTACATGGACTTTTTGCGGTCAAATCAGATCAAAAAGTGATTTGGAAAAAAAGGTTCTGTGAATCAGCAGTTAACAATTCAATAAGCTAGATAAAGTACTCAAAATGTATCCAATGTATTCTTCTTTTACTTGTCAGGTAAGAAATGTAACTTTTTGGTGTACATTTTTAAAATTGTTTTTGCAAGCACTCCCTTGTATTTTTTTTTTTTTATATATGCATGTTTGTCTTCGATAGCACTTTTCATTTATTTTTATCATTATTAACTTAAATATATATATATTTGTTTTATATATTATTTGTCTTAGGAAGAATTCCATCCATTTGTAGAAGCTTGTTTTCCAAAACTAAAGCTTGAGTTTGCATATTTCTGGTTGCATTATCAAGCAAGAAAACGACGTTTTATTAAAAAAAATGAAAGGTCCATGAGAATGGATGAAATGTTCAAGATGAGAAGAGAAATAGAGGATCAACCAATCGAAGAAAAACAAAGATGGGCTCACAACCTTCTTAAAAAGTTAAAAAAAGATATTAAACCAGAGTCTCGGTAAGTTTTAAAATATATACTCTCATATAAAAATATAACCCCCTCAACATTCCCATTGAAACAAAATCTTTTTTTATGTAAATTGTTTCGTTAGTTTGTTAAAACATAAAACGGATCAAACATTAATAATTGGAAATAACTTAGAATTTTGTTCTCCAGATAAATTTTTACTAGCATTAATTATTGTTTTGGCAGTCTAGATTATATTGTTTTTTAAAACAAAGCAAATGAATCCACTCTCGTGCAATCAATTATTTAAGTAGATTTTGCAGGAATTAAGAGTATTTTTCTGGTCAATCAGTGTTTAAATACGCGGATTAGAAGTCGATCAATTAAAAAAGATGTCATATTAAACACTTTCAAAGATAAAATTGAAGTAAGAAAGAAGAAAGATCCCGACATTTTTTTTTCATCTGACATTGTAATAAAGTTATTGAGATGTTTAATTGATATTTAATTGAAATTTTTAAAATTATTTGGAAGATTTTAATTCCAAGTGTTTATTCTTTTAAAATAATATGTGCAAAAATGTATTAATTAAATACAATATTTATGCAATGTTTTAAAATACAATGCCGCATATAAGTTCAAAAATGCAACAAAGATTTTTTATGGATCGGTTAGTTATACAACTATCTATTATCTAAAGGGTTTATGGAAAAAAAAATTAAGTGTGTCCACAACTTTATATTATGCAAAAATATTTTAAGCGCGTCTATTTTGTTCTTTAAAACACCCTTATTTTGACATTAAATATTTGTTTAACTAAATTAATATTAGTAGATCGCTTATATTTTTTTAAATATTCCTCAATACACACAAAAAAATTAATTCATTTCATTAATAACTAAAAAAATGTTGTCATCAAGATAACGTGGATTTTTTAACTATTCTAATAATAATATTAACTATATTAATAAATAAATTAACTATAATATTAATTTAACTATAATAATAATTCAACTAAAATGAATTAACCATAATAATAATAAATTAACTATTCTAATAATAAAGTTAACAAATCATTTGCCATTTGATATAAACTTGCGAGGCAACCATAAACAATCGTATATATAACAGGCAGAATAAATAATCGTTAATCAAACTAAAATAATAAATAAATAAAAAGAAAATTAAATAATAATAAGAAAATTATTAAAGTTATTAACAAGGAGTAAAAAAGATAATCAACTTTCTATACGTACTATATAACTAATTAATTAGTTAAACTCTTATTAGCATTTTAGACGAAAGTGACAATTTTGGGATCGATTTTCTATAACCATTTAAATCAGATGAAAATAAATACTAAATATAAAAAATATAAAAAGGTTTAATAAACATTTTAATGTGTTACTGAAAAAAATTCAATTAAGATGTTATATAGTTTAAAATATTTTTTGAAAATAAAAAAGAAGTACTAACTCAAATTTATAATGCATTTTTGTATATTTGATACTGTATATTTTGCACACATGCAAGATGACATTTTTACTGTCAGGGAAAATTTCATCTTGCATGTGTGCAAAATACACAGTATCAAATATACAAATTTTGTTAAATTGCTATTTATCAAAAGTAGAATCTTTGACATTTTCACTAATCGTGGTTCAATAATTTTTCAAAATATTTTACTTCTTTAACGTTTTCATTTATTGTTGATATAATAGGGGAAGGGAAGGGGTGGGGTCAAGTGTGAGGCATCTTACCTATATGATATCTTCTTGGCCATCTTGAATAGGTTAGAGCAGCCGTGGCGCAGTGGTAGCGCAATAGCCTCAGAAAAGTAAGATCCGTCGTTCAAACCCCACCTCTGGGTAAGTTTTGCGACATCGGTTGGGAAGGAGGCGTGAACTTCCTATTAAATGCTCTTCCGCGGTGCTCTGTGATAAGACCGCAAGGACTTCTTGGGGCACCTTAAAAAAATTATAAAAAACAAAAAGGTTATACCACTTATAAATATATTTTTTTAATTAGAGAAGACTCACCGTATGTCATTCGATGCTTGAGATTTTTAAAGTTTTAGCTTTTACATTATTTATGTCGAAAGAATTACTGATGTTATTTTTTATAATTATAAACTTTATGTCATTTATGTTATTTATGCCTTATGATTAAACTTATAATACTATTTATACAACTTAAGTTTTTACAATTTAATTTGTTTTTTGTTATTAATTGTTAATTAAAAGTTTAAAAGCTAAATTCTTTTAGCATAAAAAAGATGGAACTCTATAATTCTCTCACGACAAACTGCATTTAAGTGTTTAGGAATTAATAATTCTATTTTTTACAATTGTAAACTCTTTTATCATTTTTTTTTTTAAAATACCAAATTAGCCGAGCACGCTTATAACAAACTGTAGACTTTTTTGAAGAAAAAAAGAAACACTAAAAATAAATAAAATTGAAATAGAAACAAATTTTAAGACTTCAAGATTTTCTTTATTGAAATTAAGAAAACATATAGTAATAATATCTCAATAAAAAGAGAGGTTACTAACTTTTATGGTTTATATTTTATTATATGTACTTTTTTTTAAATAGTTACCTTTTTTTTTCTATTTATATTTTTAGTAACTTAAAATCCCTAAATTATTTTATTAGAGACGAGTTTATAAAAGCCATGAAAGGTTTTGAAAGTGGATGCGTTATTTCAAACCCTGATCAAAAGCAGAAAATGCGACGAATAGATTGTTTAAGACAAGCTGATAAAGTATGGAGGTATAACTTATTATCACTGCTTTATTAATTTTATGTGTATTAACTTTATATATATTAACTGTCAAATCTTTTTGTTGAACCTACTTTGGGTCTCAACTGGCATTTATGTTAGCTAAAATAGACTTGCCTTGTAAAATGTCAAAAATAAAAAATAATATAAATTTGTTAAACGATACCTCGAACTGCACTTTCGCACTTATGTATTCTTAAGCCAGTTATAGATACAAAAATTCAGCTGAGTATTTTGGTCTCTCTTTTCTCTTTTTCAATGTATATTACTTCAATACTTTTAAATAATTTTAATAATAAAGTCGTTCAAAATAATTAACTTTAATAGTAAAGTTGTTCAAAATAATTAACTTAAATGATTATTTATCTAATTTACTTTAAAGATTGGATTTGGTAATGATGATTTTATTTCACGGCGCACCGCTAGAAAGTACCGACGGAGAAAGGCTTAGCAAAATTTCAAAATGTAAAGAGCCTTTACTTTGTGTTAATCCATCACATATTGGACTTGTAGCCAAAGAGCTGGATCTTTTTATTTCTAAAAATTTATATCAAGCCGGTAAGTTAATAATCAAGTAATATATATATATATATATATATATATATATATATATATATATATATATATATGCACACAGATAATGAATCTTTTTCTTACATATGTATATTTTGTCTAAACATTAACAGATTCAGCACCTGGACCAAATATGTTATTATCAGGAGTTGTCTCAGAAACAGATTTTGATCAGTATAGCAATTTACAAGGTGTGAAAAGTATCATTTATTTTGTTTCAAAAATATCTTCCAACAAAAATATAATATTTTGTTTTGTATTAATCTTACTTTTGTATTTACAGATATGCCTTCACCGCCATATTCTCGCTCTATTCAAATTGCACAACCTGTAAATATAAGATGTAGTCCAAGGGTACATCCCTATCAATGTCAAAGGTCAACCGTTAGTGATAGTAAACTAACAATGTATGAACGGGACGGAGCTGGTTATAGCGATTCTGACTCAGGTAAAATACTAAAATTGTTTAAGATTAACAGATATCAAAAGTTCATTGGTTAAGCATTTCTTAATCATAATTTTTACCTTTTGGTTTTTTTACTTTGTTTAACTACTTTATAATTACTTCATTTTCGAAGTTTTTTTAAAAATTCGTTCTAAATTAATATAGGTGTAAGCACGCCACCAAAAGTAAAAATGGAATATTCTTCATTGAGTCCAGGAGATGCATTCTCAAGTAATTCTATGGTCTTCACGAAAAATCAATTGTATCAGCAAGAACAAGTTCAAAATTTATACCAGCAGCACATCAACAAAATGATATCAGAAGGTGAAATTTTTTATTATTTATAACTAATATTTGTTTGAAAATTTTTGTTTATCAAGTTAGATAAATTTAAATTATTTATAACTTATATTAATTTAACTTGGAAGTAAATTTAGTTTATATTTGCTTTATAATGTTGGCTTAATTTATTTTCTTTGATAAGGAGACAAACTTGGCTTAATAGACGTATACCATCGAACTCAGTTACTTAGTAACAGCGTTTTTCCGTGGCAATTAAGTGCAGCGCCGTCAAATTTTCATCAAACCAACGATCTTTCAAACCAGTTACATACTTATCCAAATTTTAATGACACAAATAACTATTCGTCGTTGGCTTTTAACAGTCACCAAAGTATGCTTCGAACATTTAGCGATAAAAGAATGAACACAAATTCTATGGAACAGGTAAGTTTTTGAAAATATTAAAACTTTAGAAAATCATTTTGAATAACAATTAATTTTGATACTCCCATTTATAAGTAAGGTGACCAGATTTTTTAACGTTCGGAAGCGCCGTAAAAACCCTAATTTAATTAGATCGAAAACTCTGCCCTCAACCGTAAATGTTTGTTATGAGAAACGTGCTCACTTCATTTACTTTATAAATTTTATTAAATCAGAATGTTCAAGATTGCAACGCTACTTGCAATAATGCAAATTCAACGGAATCATATGACGGCCAGAGTCAGTCAAACGGGTTGTACTCACAAGCATTTGGTGACATCACTGACGGCAGTTTTACAGGGGAACAGCATTTATGTGCAAATGGTAAATTATTTATAAGTATCTAATAATTTTTTATTGTTAACTGTTCTTTAATTTAAAAAAAAAATGATTAAGAAGTTAACTCACAGCATTTATGTTTAATCAATTTTATGTTATCATAATATTTATAATGTAAAAGAGAAAAGACTTATTCTGTAAAAAATTAGGTGAGATAACATTTAACACCTGTTTAAAAAATTATAAAAAGATTATGTGTAGGATTATTGACTATAGGAGTCTAGAACATGTAGTTTAGTAGCTAACTTCTAACTATTAAATTATTAATAAGTAAATGGATTTTTTTTCAGGTTTTGGATCGAGTAATATGATGCAAAACTATCCTGTCACAGTTGACAATCAAATTTATCTAAACTAAAAGATAAAAATGATAGTAAAATTGAAAAGTTTTATAAATAGATTGTAAGGGAGCAAGACCGATGAAGCAGGTGGGCATAAAAAGAAAAAACAACAACAACATAACAAGTCACGTTCATAAACAAAGTTTTGTTAGGTTAAATGAAAAAATTGCTTAATTTTACAAAAAAGACATTCGATTTATGATTACATTAGTAATTGATCATACTTTGTTATGAAGAAGCCATTCTAAAGTTGATAAATACTGAAGATTCGCATATGAAAATGCAGTTCTATTACATAACAGTAAATTAGAAATTATGTCATTACCTCAGGACGTATTTAATCTAATAATTCAATAGGTGATTGGAATTTCAAAAAGCTTTATTACCAGTTAATCTAATAATTCAATAGTTGATTGGAATTTTAAAAGTCTGTATTACCATTTAATCTAATAATTCAATAGTTGATTATAATTTCAAAAGGCTGTATTAGCATTTAAAAACTGACATGTATTTGGTTATTTAAAAACCAACTCGACATATATTTTTATTTCCGTATTTGTATATTAATAACAATAGGCATTGTATTATTTATTGAAATTATTTTGTAATTTATGAAGATTTTTTTTAAAAAAGTATATTTTTATAGTTAAAAAAAAATTAAATATTTGTTTTATTTTTTAAATAGATGTATGAAATTCTTACTTTTCTTAGTATTATTTTAAACTAAAGTTATACTAAATTTGCATCTCAATTCGTACTCAGTTCAAAAAGGTTTTATTTCGTATTTTCAAAAGCATAAATATAATTACATGTCACCACTCAAAAGTGCAGTTATTGGGCCAACTTTATCAAAAATTTTAGCAAAACTTACTTGACACAAGAATAAACATAGAAACATTTAAAATAAATAGTTTATTATATACATGTCAATCAACCAAAACTCACTCTGACTTGGCTTGTAATTTAGAAAAGTGTTCAATGTATTATTATGTTTAAATTTTTAATCTTAGTGTTTCTGCTATTTTATGAGTAACATAAAAAATATCAAAACTTAAATTTTTGAGAAGGTCGTTAAATTTCAAAAAATATTAGAAGTTCTTTTTAACCATAGTCATAGTATTTAGCTAGTCTGGAAACGCCAGCTGTTTTCTTATAACACTTAAGTTCATCTCTCGACTATAGTATAGAGAGGAATAATGCATTCTAAATTATACTGTACTATATGATGTACTCTCAAGTAGGTTGAGCACTGTAGTGCTCATTATGTTGTAAACATTACATTTCACTATAGCTAAGTTGTATATACTTTGGGATAAATATCGAAATAGCAGGAGCAAATTGTGTAAGATATTATTTTGAACTGCATATATATTTCATATTCCAAATATAAATGAAAATGTAGCATAAAATAAAGACTTAAACAGTTAATAAATTAAGTTACGTTACAGAGTTTTTAGTGGTTTGAATATGCATATTCAAACCATATAGTATATATGCTATATGAAAGTATGTTATAAATACAAAAATTTTATCGACTGTATAAATTGATATCTATGGCTATTAATGCTTAGTATCGTATATTCAGAGTATATTTATTTAAAATATTAGCTAATAGAGCTTTATAAACTCTATATTCTATATAAAGTTTAGTTAGATGGATTAATGCTACCAAATATTGCATCACTAACATATATAATCAAACAGTATTTAATTAAAAGAAAAATAGTACATTGTATTAAAAGAAGATTACAGAATTCTATTTGAAAATCACAGTGTATTAAATTAAGTTACAGAATGGTGGAATGCTTATACTGTTGAACCATATTGCTTATATATTCTGTGAAAACAGAGAATGTGGCTTTCGTATTTTAGCTAAACTTATTTTTGAGCATATAGAGTTGGCAACTTAATTTTTAAGAAGTGTTAAACTTGCTGCCTACTTAATAAGTTTTTGTTATATTAAAATTTTTTGTTTATATGGAATATTATGGAATATTTGAAAACTTATTTCGACACCAACAATTAAGTAGTCCTAGCAAGAATAACTTATCAAAACTTTGGCTCTAACAATAACTAAAATATATTTTAGTCGCGGGTAATATTGAAATGTTATGTATTTACCTACACTTGAAATGTTATGTATTTACCTACACGGGTAATATAAAGTGGTAGAAATATAGTATTGAGTCATGCCAAAAAAAAAAAAAAAAAAAAAAAAAAAACTGAAAGCAAGTGAAAACTGCTTGTATTATTTACAAGATAATGTTTCTTAGATTTGTTTAAAACTAAATTTATTTTTTTATAAAATATATGTAAAATAGTAGTGTTGTCATTAATATTTTAAAATTAAAAAGACAATTATATTATTTTTATTATTCAATCTTGTATTATTATTTTATTAAAAAGTTCCTATACCATAAAACTATTAAATATACATTAAGTATTTAATTTACTACTCCGTGAGTTAATTATATACCAATAATATTTTTAAATAATGTGTTTGTGAAAATAGCCGTTTTAGTCGGTTTAAGTCATCTCACTTCTTTAATGTTTTTGTTCCAAAATAGATGGTGTTTTTATTGATGTTCTTTATATATAGTGCGGCTGTGGCGCAGTGGTTAAAGCGCCACAGCCGCACTATATTAGCCACACTCCTTGCTTTATAAGCAGGAGATCCAGGTTCGAAACGAGCTTTGGACATATTTCGCGTCACGGTAAGGAAGGAGGCGTGAACTTCCTAGTTAAATGCATATATATATATATATATATATATATATATATATATATATATATATATATATATATATATATATATATATATATATATATATATATATATATATATATATATATATATATATATATATATATATATATATATATATATATATATAATATTATAGAAAACTACAAAAAAATTTACAAAACATTCCCAAAAATTTATAATAGAATATTTTGTTTAGTAATGTAACAAAAGAGGTCCCAGTTAGATAAACAAAGATAAGATTTGCTACTTCAAAACTTTAAAGAAAAGTTTAATTTTGGCTACGGTTTTAAAAAGAAACTCTTGCTTTAGAAAATATTTTGTAGAATCTGTAGTAAAAAATTTCAGCATTTCCATTAAATGAATAAGTTGCATTTTACTAGGAACTAAGCTGTAATGACTTCGTCTTAAAATACTTAAAATATTTATACCTGATTCAAAATTTAAATTCTGCTTACAGCAGGGTACCCTTTACCTAAGGCAAGCCTTTTTGAATTAATATTTGAAAAATTAAATAATGAGAAAAACAAATTTTTTTCTCATTTATAGCAGGTTTAATTTATCAGTTATTTTTTGATGAGCTTTTAAAAATACCTGGTTGTTATTTTTTGTTGTTGTTTTAGTAGTAAGTTCTGTAAAACCTTTATAAAAATTTGTTCATATAAAGTAGGGTTGTTCAAGAAGACAAGAAGCAAAATTTTCGCATTTTTATATACTGTATGCTATTAGGTTATTCCGCAATGGTTTTACGGAGTTTACATATCGTCGGGGATAGAGCAAAACCGCGTAACTAGCATTGGATAATACCGCGTATCTACCGTACATTTTTTTTACTGGAAAAGTTTAAAACTTTATAAATTTGTTATTTTAACTGATTTTGGGTTCATTTTAGTATAAAGAGTATTATTCATGCTTTTTGTAATCTCAACAATAGATATTTGGTGTTAAAATTAATAATATCTAAATAGAGTAGCCAATGCTAGTTACACGGATTTGCACTATTCCCGACAGTATGCGAAAGTTCACTCTCTGTAGAACGTTATACGAAAAATAAAAAGACTTTATTTCCGTAATAACGAGTTGCGAAAAAAAACTTGCGAAACGATTCGTTTCAAGAAAAAAATTCATAACAGTCCCTTATGTGCAGCCGTATTTGCATCTCGCTTAACCGAGCTTTTGTCTGAAATTTCATTACAATATTTCAAAGTAAAGAAATGACGAAAAACTTTTATAAATTTGTTAAAACAAAACAAATACTAAAATAAAACATTTAAGTTTAAAAAATTGTATATTTAAAGAATTTTTTTGTTTAATTTTTTTTACTCGGTGTAGTTAAGAGGATTTACAAATTATTCGAACTCTTTAATTTGAAATTAACATGATTTTATTAGTGTATTATGTCCAAACAAGAGCTTTAGATGTTATAATTTTTTTTTTGCTCCAGGTTTTTACTACACCTAATAGTGAATCTAAAGAAAAACATTTTGGAGTCTTTAGATCATTTTCGCTCATCGGCGTTAACATAAATTTAGTTAAAATCTTTTGAAAAAGTGCCTTAACCCACTATAGATCCTAGTTCTAATTGGTTCTGACGTATAATAACTATATATATTTGTCAAAAGACAATATTTCAATCAATTTTCACAAAAAATACAAAAATTCTGACGAACAAAGAGCTTATAATTAAGAAAAATTATCAATAAACGATCAGAACAGATCATTTTATTAAACCATGATGCTCATTTCACCTAAACAACGAATTTATTTAAAATCTTATTCAAATTTGAATACGCAACTGTGATATTAAAAAGATTATTTAAAAAAAAAAAAAAGAATCTTCGGTCTGGGTTTTTTCACTCCAAACATTTATATTTTATGATACCGCGAAATTTATCATAGAATTTTTTTTTGTCTTTTTATAATTTACAGACCTGATGATTTAATGGAAATAAGTCGTAGTCAACTAAATATCATACATACGCTATAATATTTTAAAATTACCGAGTAACGCTACGTTAAGTTTAAGAGATGACCCAGCGGGCACAGACGTCAATCTGACGTCTTACGGACGTCTTATATAGGTCACGATGTCGTAGACCAAAATTAGGACGTCCTAAAGACGTATGGTAAAGATATCTTTATTTGGACGTCCCAGTAACGTTTGCATTAAGACGTTATCAGGACTTCCATATTTAGACGTCCTATTGACGTCCCTAAGACCTACTTTACGTCCTATTACATTAAAAATAAGTCGTGTCAAAGACTTTTAAAGGACGTCTTTAAAAAATTTAATAATTAGATAAATTTATATATAAACTTAAAGCATAAAATATTACGCGCTAACTCGGTTAATCAAAAATGTCTGCTTGTTTTAGTTAAATATTTAGATATTATTAATTTTGGTTGGTTATTTATCGCTTAAAGATATTTTCCAATTTTCTATATTTTATAATCTATAATCTATACAATTTTTAAATTACAAAAAATTGAGTTTAGTTATAAAGCATTTATTATATAATAACTTTATCTATACTGATTGTGCGCATTTTTATTACTATTATTTTTGTTAACTTGTGTTATTTTAAAAACGAACAAATTCGTTGTGAAATTAAAAAAACGTGGTTTTTAAACACATTAGCGTTGAGGCCCAATACTTAGCAATTAGAAATTGGTTAAATGCTTTTGATCTCATACAGTTCATTGGCTTCAGGTCCACGCTATTTAAAAGGGGTTTGTACAAGATTAGCTAAGTTTCCTGACCAAGCATTATACTTGATAACTTCCTGCCATTATGTTGGAGAGCTTCAT